ACAGCAGGTGGGAACAATGGGTAGACTTTCTCGTTTTTTGTTTTATTGGCTTGTGTAAAAAGAAATGTAAGCTATTAAGTGTATAAGGTAGGGAGTGAAGCACAGGGCTCATGAGTCTATCGTGGGAAAGGTTGCTGTGATTCGAGTCTAAGAGCAAACCCACATACCTACTGAGAAACAGAGTCACGTAATGGAGCAGTGGCTCCTGGGAGGATGAGAAGGACTATACTTGAACGTTCGACTAAAGAATCCATCTTAAACAGCAGTACCGAAGTCACATTCTAAAGTTTTAGAGAACTGCAAATCATTTCCACTTGAATACATTTACAGTATCAATAGTCTATTGACATAGAGTTGTTAAGAGTATAGCTTAGTCAGAGCTTCTTTCGAGTGACAATCAACTGAAGATGCTTAAGCACAGGAGTATTATAATCATAGTGTCTCAGAGATTTTCCAGTAAGCGTAGAGAGAAGCAGGTAGACCAGTTATCTAGGGCAGCTGTGGGAATGGAAAAATAGGTATGTGAAAGATATATGAAGGAAAAATGGAGAGTTGGGCACTTCGTGTCTGTGAGTGAGGGAGAGAGATTTCATCTCAGGATCACAGAGGCTGTGACTCTGAGGCATCTACTAATAACCTCGATGCTTAGGCAACATAAAAGGCATTTTGAAAATACTTCTACAAAAGCTAAAGTAGCAAGTCTAGGCAAAAAATGCAATCAAAATTAAAGTCAAACAAATACAGAACCATAAAAAGGGTACCCTGTCGGTGCAAGAGCAAAGGGTCAGTGCAAGCCTGAGGGAGGATCTTTTTTCCAGAGTCCTTTGTGAAGAGAGGTCAGCCGGGAGCGGGAGAGAATGTGCCGTGTGATGAATCTGGAGCTATGAGGCTCTGACCAGATGAGTGGAATGGGGAGCATGAAGTTGATGTTCTAGTCAAATTCCCTAGAGCCTATTGCACTGTAAAATCAAAAGGCTAATAAAAGAAAAGGCTGCGTCTCTAATGTACAAGTTGGGAAGGTCTAGTGCACTGAGGCCAAGCCACAAACATTGAGCTGAACTGCAAAGCAGCCCATCAGCAGAGGCCACATCCAGCAGTATACAGATTCCGTGGAAAGGTCTCTGATCACGAAGAGTGGTCCAGTTGGCCATTGCTGTTATGTTGTTCTTTTAAAACAATAACAAAAAAAAAACAAAAAAAATTAACTATCATGTCTATAAATACCTGAAAATTGTTTTCTGAGAGCTGATTTTTTTATTTGTTTGCTTGTTCCAACTCCTTATCCAGAATCCTCTGGTCATTTTTAAATCTCCCACCCACTCATCTCGGTTTTGCTATTGGTGTGCACCCTCAATGCTAAACACATTGGTGTGCGTGTTCTCCGTCAGGAATGAGGATCGAGGAATGACTTCTGCATTCATGTTTCATGCTGAGAGTGGTCACCTGTCACTTATCATAGTGGTGGATAAGTTGTTTTAAGTTAGCGCTCTAGAGAAAGCACTGTCACAGCAGGTGGGGACAATGAGTAGGCTTTCTTGGTTTTGATTTTATTGGCTCATGTAAAAGGAAATGCAAGCCATTAAATGTATAAGGTGGACACTGAAACACAGGGCACACGAGTCTTTCACTGGTGATCAGTGAAGACCTTCCCACAGATTACTACTTTTGTCCACAGAAATGACAATACCTTTATTTTTCCGTTTACAAGATAGGGGAGGGCTAACTCAGTACAGAATCTGTACGTGAAAGCATTCAGAAACCTGTCTTAAATCTGTTGCTTTCTGAAACAGTATGAGCAGCAGATGGTAGCTCTATGCCTAAAAACCCCCGTGTTGCTTCCTGTGTTTTGTGTAATCAGTAGGTCTGGGGAGCTTTCTCTGCCTAGCCTTGTCACCCCTGGGTGCTGTGTCAGCATTATTAAAATTTTTGCTTTCTAAAAAGCCTTCTTCAGCTCACTATCCCCATCACAAAGCTTGTGCAAAGCCTGACTCTCTTACTCAGTTCTGCTGCAACTAAAAGCTGAACAACTACCTTACCCTTCTTCCCAGTCTTAACACCTTCATTGCTGTATATCCAAGACCCCTCGGTACCCCCCAGCTCCTTCACCCCCTCCCCCACCCGGTCTTGATCTATCCAGGCCTAGTAGCTGAGGTCACCCCAGGGAGGTCCCTACTGGCTCCTCCAGCTTAAGACATCTCCGTCTACATTCTGGTCCCTCCTAGGATTCCTAGGACCCGAGGCTCACTCATTGTCAGGAGGCCAACGTTCACATGTGTGACTACTTGGTGTTCTCTCTGGATTCTCAGTACCCTTGCTCCTCAACTTTCACATTAGAGAGTCTTCAGAGACCGATGAGTAACCCGACAGGATGACACCTGGAGAGTTCTTCCTCATGTCTGGCCTTCTGTCTTCACACACTTTGGTCCTGTTAATGCCTTAACTTAATTTAGCCACTTGTTGGCAGGCGCACATTGAGAACTTCCAGGGCCAAACTGTTAAGCTAAGCCATTGAGGAGCCAGCTTTATCCTATGTCCTTCTGACCGTAGACTCTCCAAAGGTTACTTGTATTTTCATTTCCCAAAAGACCCGGAGACTAACAGGTTGCCTTCTGAATGCTCAGAAACCTGGGCTGGATCCCTGTGTGCCCGGCCTCCTGTGGTAGAAAATGCCTGCCCAGCAGGAAATGGAATGAGTGGTAAGCCAGTGAAAGCGTCGAGTCAAAAGGTTGGCAAAATGCTTTCTACAGGAGAAAGGTGAAGTCTCTGCTCGAGATTGAATGGGGCTGGAAAATATAAACCAGAGAAAGGGCAGGTCAGCATCTGCAGCAAGAGTGAGTCGGCATGCTGCCGGTGAGTAGGATCCTGTGTGTTTAAAGCGCAGATCTCAACTTTGAATCAGGCCCTGTGATTTACAGAAAAGATAATGGGCCTGAGGTCAGGTGCCTAACAGTTCCAGTGATAGCTCAGCCAGGAGAGCCTGAACAAGCACTTTAACCACCTCATCTATAGTTTTCCGTTTATGAGATTGGGGGAGAGCTAACGCGGTACAGAATGGTCTGTATGTAAGAGCATTCAAAAAGATGTTAATTTCTAACGGACTTGGGAACTGTGGGCAGTACGGTGTGGTACAGGAATGACACCAAATGTAAGCCTCAACTTGAGTCCAGTGTTGTTCATAATTCTGTATCTCCGCTTTGCCGTGCGAATGCACCTACATACACTTGTTTCAAGATCAATAATGTCATCAGAAAAGCAGTGACAGCAGTAAACTATTTTGGATTTCTTTCATTTATGCCTTAATCTGCTCAGAGCATTGGGCTTGCTGGGGAGGGGAAGATGTCTGCTTTGTTTCTTTAGTGCTGCCTCTGCAGAGTCCAGGCAATGATAACACTTAATGGTGTGTTGGTTTCTCTTGTCTCCCACTCTCCCCACTTCCTCCTGAATGCCCATTCCCAGTGCTGGCTGAGCAGCTTGGCAGGCTGTCAGACCATGTCAGTCAAACCCCTGATCTCACTGACACTGACCCCTCTGAGTTAATGGGTCAGGCACAGCAGCAGACACCCAGGAGAACTCAGTCTTTGCCATCTCTGTTGCCTGGAATCATCAAACTGCAAACAACATTTGAATGCTTCTGCCTGCCTGCATTCCATACTGCTCAGTATTTATAGCTATTGTTATGACTATATGTTTGCCCGCCCTTTCTCTGGAAACATCCATTCTCCTCTCTTACTGCTTCTGAACAAGGAAGCTTCTGGAATTCTCATTGAGAATTTTGAATTTGCTCTTCTCTGCTCAGATAGCGTTTTAAATTTTTCTCTGGTGATGTCACAAATGGAAAACTCAGAAAAAAAATCAGTTCTTAGTCAAATGTTGTTCCTATAGTACATTTTTTATTATCATGGCATGGTATTTAAATGGACCCTAATATAAGTTTATATAGGTAAGTTCCCTATGTTTATATGGGTTTTTTTTAAAAGCATGTAATAAAATATCAAAGGACTGTTAAGTATCAGGAAATACTTTATCTCATTACACTAAATAAAGTAAGTTCTTTGAGATAGCACATGCTCTTAAAATAACAGTATAGACAAGAGAGGTCAGGGGCTGGAGAGGTGGCTCAGTGGTTAGGAACACTTGCTCTTTTCTCTCCAAGACCCAACTTCAGTTCCCAGCACCCACATCAGGAGGCTCACATCTGTAATAGCAGCTCCAGGAGGCACCTACACTGTCTTCTGTGTTCCTTGGGCACCCTCATGCATGTTCAAATACCTCAACATGTACACATAATTAAAAATAAATCTTCCTTATAAAAGTATAGTATTTTTTTTAAGGAAGGTTATCACCATCGCTACAACTGAAGCCCTACTTTGCCATAAACTATGTCAATCACTGAGAAATCTTAAAAGTCTTTAGGGCTAAGGGATGCCTTAGCCTAGATTTCATGAGGTTCTGAGTGCCAGCCCCCAACACTGTCCAAAAAGAGTCTTTAAAAGGCTCCCCCCCCCCCAATTAATTTGTCAAAAATGTCTCAAGATGCTAAAATAATACTTGAAGCATGTTTGAAGGGCACACACGTGTGCGTATGCCGCACAGTCGTGGAGGGGCTTAGCTGACAGAACCATAAAAGCACAGGGGCACTGAACTGCGTCTACTTGGCGGAAAATATGGGAGAATACGACGGAATTTAATATCAGCAAACATGTTCCCTTTGAAACAGCAAATTAGATGTGCAGGTGGGTTTTGGTCACACTTCAAAGAATAAAATGCTGAGATGGAGAACTGTTCTGTTTACTCTTGCTCTCTCTGGCAAGGTTTTTTTCTATGTTAAACAGGCTTTTGATTACTTCAAAGCGTGTTTGAAGTCCTCACTCTGCATAGCTCATGCACAAAGACAAATACTCCTCCAAAGTTGTGCCGCTAATCCTGGTGTGCCTTAAATGTATAGGTAAAAAGCGCCCGCCATTTCCTTGTTAACGCCATGTGACACCTCTCTCATTCAGCTACGACAGTGAAGGTCGCCTGACAAATGTTACCTTCCCAACTGGGGTGGTGACAAACCTGCACGGGGACATGGACAAGGCCATCACAGTGGACATTGAGTCATCCAGCCGAGAGGAAGATGTCAGCATCACTTCAAATTTGTCCTCCATCGATTCGTTCTACACCATGGTCCAAGGTAAAGGCAAAGCATATTCATTTTAAATGAATAGAGAGAGTATCAATAGCACTCCTGTGGACCCTGTGTTCTAAGATAACCCAGAAGAGAGGAGGAAGAGGCAGGAATGCTCAGAGGAAATGGTGAAACAAGCAAGGCCCTGTAGGCAGTATTACACACACACACACACACACATACACACTCACACTCACACATACACACTAACACACATACACTCAGGCACACACACAGACTCACGCACGTACTCATACATACACACTCACACACACACAGACGAACACACACACTCTCTCACACAAGCAAATAGTGCTAACCTTGAAAAATGTCCCTTTCAATTCTAATTCAATACAGCAACTTAATTTCAGCTCTCGATATGTGTCATCTCACCAGTTTGATGTCATCCAATTGTTTCTGAGAGCGTGCCCTCCCCTCTGCCACCTCACTGCGATGACTTGAGGTTTGGGGTGCTGTAATCCACTGTGATGTGGTATCTGAAGCCACATATGACGGTGATTTTACCTCCACATTACCAAGACGCTATTTATATAATATCTAAACTCTTTCACAACTTGGAATAATTACTAAACCTGCATTAGGCCTCTCTTGCTTTGCTTGGGTTTGGTTTGGATTGACTTGTGCTTGTTTGATTGTTGGTTTTTTTTTTTTTCTTTTTAAAAACTTACCCATCAGGCAACCTCTGCAAGCCTCTAAAAGTAATATTTCTTGATTGTATTTCTTCTACAAATGGTCCTGTTTCATTCCAAAGACTTCCACGGAGACAGAGGCACTAGTCTATAATATGAAAGGTTTTTTTCTTATACAAAATATTGGGTAGATCTCTTTTTTAGAAAGTTAGTTTGGGAGAGAATATCACTTTGTATTTTGTGTATGCAAGCTATGCGTATTGATCCTTCCAAAGTTCCTTTGACAAAAGACAACAGAGTGCACATAGGTGAAGGCACTCCTGAGATCCTGAAGGTGGACACCCAGTACTGAAAGACTACGTGCTTGGTCCACTGCTCATCTCCAGTGAGATGAACCTTCATCATCTGCTGAAGTCACTGGTACTTTTAAATGCTCTTTAGTTCACCTTTGATATTCAGCCAAATACGAGAAGTCCAAGCTATCCCGATCCTCTCTGGAAGGGCACCTGTACCCGTTACTTTTCTCAGCACTGTGATAGGGTATAGTGGCAGAAGTAACAGAAGAAGGAAAGTCTTAGCTTCCAGGTCCAGAGGGTTTGGACTGTGTTGCTTACCCATGGGACTGGGTAAGGTATCATGTCAGGGGAAACCTATGGGAGGAGAGTTTCTTCACCTCCTGTATGGGAAGGAAGGAGATGGGAAGGGCAGAAAAGGAGGGATGGAGAGAAGTTAGGTACATAGGTCAGTATCAGGTACCTGAACCTCCGGTTATATACTTCCTTCAGCCAGGGACTCCAGAACTAACCCCACAAAGGGACCAAGCTCCAAAATCATTTTGAGGGGACACTTGCTATCCAGACCATGCAGCATCATGGTCCCCCTTTGTTTGTGCTTGGGGTCCTTCTCCTATTCTACCTCATCCAGCCTTGATGCGAGGGTTTGTGCCTAGCCTTATTGCGGTTTGCTACGCCATGCTCAGTTAAAAGAGACCTGCTCTTTTTTTAAGGGAAACTGAGGAAAAGCAGCTCTAGGGGAGAAGGGAGGTGAGGGACCTGGGAGGAGTAGAGGTAGGGGAAGCTGTGGTCAGGACGGAATATATTAAAGAATAAAAATTGAAATTAAATTATATATTATATGAAAATGAAAAAAGAAATCTAAAAAAAAAAATGAAGGCCTCCATGTTTTAGAAATCTTCATCAGTTCATGCCCAACATCAGATACTTAATATGGACAGAATAAGTCACCTTTTCTGCTTTTCTTTTTCTTTTCTTTGTTGTTTTTAGACCAGTTAAGAAACAGTTACCAGATTGGGTATGATGGCTCCCTTAGAATCTTCTATGCCAGTGGTCTAGACTCTCACTACCAGACAGAGCCCCACGTTCTGGCAGGCACCGCGAATCCTACAGTGGCCAAAAGAAACATGACTCTTCCTGGTGAGAACGGACAAAATTTGGTGGAATGGAGATTCCGGAAAGAACAAGCCCAAGGCAAAGTCAACGTGTTCGGCCGGAAGCTCAGGGTAAGTGATGCTTGGGGAGGAAGAGAAGGATGTCCAGCACTATGGTGTGTGTGTGTGTGTGTGTGTGTGTGTGTCCCGCGCCATGGTGTATGTGTCCAGTGCTGTGGTGTGTGTGTGTCCAGCCCTGTGGTGTGTGTATGTCTGGCACTGTGGTATGTGTGTCTAATGCTGTGGTGAGCATGTCCAGCACCATGGTATGTATGTGTCCAGTGCTGTGATGTGTGT